GCATGTACTGACATGGTAGGTGACACAGACAGTGGTGTATTCAGTAACAGAGCTGAGGTAGTGCATGAGGTGCACTGACATGGTAGGTGACACAGACAGTGGTGTATTCAGTAACAGAGCTGAGAGTGCATGCATTGAAGTGTATCCACAGAGACAGGTGACACAGACAGTGTGCATCACTGAGTAACACAGACTGAGGTGCGTGTACTGACATGGTGGTGACACAGACACAGTGACACAGACAGTGTATTCAGCAACAGAGCTGAGAGTGCATGCACTGACATGGTAGGTGACACAGACAGTAGGTGTATTCAGTAACAGAGCTGAGAGTGCATGCACTGACATGGTAGGTGACACAGACAGTGGTGTATTCAGTAACATGAGCTGAGAGTGCATGCACTGACATGGTAGGTGACACAGACAGTGGTGTATTCAGTAACAGAGCTGAGTAACATAGTGCATGCACTGACATGGTAGGTGACACAGACAGTGGTGTATTCAGTAACAGAGCTGAGAGTGCATGCACTGACATGGTAGGTGACACAGACAGTGGTGTATTCAGTAACAGAGCTGAGAGTGCATGCACTGACATGGTAGGTGACACAGACAGTGGTGTATTCAGTAACAGAGCTGAGAGTGCATGCACTGACATGGTAGGTGACACAGACAGTGGTGTATTCAGTAACAGAGCTGAGTGCATGCACTGACATGGTAGGTGACACAGACAGGTGGTGTATTCAGTAACGGAGCTGAGCTGAGAGGTGCATGTACTGACATGGAAGGTGACACAGACAGTTGTGTATTCAGTAACAGAGCTGAGAGGGCATGTACTGACATGGTAGGTGACACAGACACAGTGGTGTATTCAGTAACAGAGCTGAGAGTGCATGCATTGACATGGTAGGTGACACAACATAATAGTGTATTCAGTAACAGAGCTGAGAGTGCATGCACTGACATGGTAGGTGACACAGACATTGGTGCATTCAGTAACAGAGCTGAGAGTGCATGCACTGACATGGTAGGTGACACAGACAGTGGTGTATTCAGTAACAGAGCTGAGAGTGCATGCACTGACATGGTAGGTGACACAGACAGTGGTGTATTCAGTAACAGAGCTGAGAGTGCATGCACTGACATGGTAGGTGACACAGACAGTGGTGCATTGAGTAACAGAGCTGAGAGTGCATGCACTGACATGGTAGGTGACACAGACAGTGGTGCATATTCAGTAACAGAGCTGAGAGTGCATGCACTGACATGGTAGGTGACACAGACAGTGGTGTATTCAGTAACAGAGCTGAGACATGCATGTACTGACATGGTAGGTGACACAGACAGTGGTGTATTCAGTAACAGAGCTGAGAGTGCATGCACTGACATGGTAGGTGACACAGACAGGTGGTGTATTCAGTAACAGAGCTGAGAGTGCATGCACTGACATGGTAGGTGACACAGACAGTGGTGTATTCAGTAACAGAGCTGAGAGTGCATGCACTGACATGGTAGGTGACACAGACAGTGGTGTATTCAGTAACAGAGCTGAGAGTGCATGCATTGACATGGTAGGTGACACAGACAGTGGTGTATTCAGTAACAGAGCTGAGAGTGCATGACATGACAGGTGACGGACAGACCGTGGTGTATTCAATAACAGAGCAGAGGGTGAAAGTGCATGCATGGTGACATGACCGTTGACACAGACAGTGGTGCATTCAGTAACAGAGCTGAGAGTGCATGCATTGACATGGTAGGTGACACAGACAGTGGTGTATTCAGTAACAGAGCTGAGAGTGCATGGATTGACATTGTAGGTGACACAGACAGTGGTGTATTCAGTAACGGAGTTGAGAGTGCATGCATTGACATGGTATGTGACACAGACAGTGATGTATTCAGTAACAGAGTTGAGAGTGCATGCATTGACATGGTAGGTGACACAGACAGTGGTGTATTCAGTAACAGAGTTGAGAGTGCATGCATTGACATGGTAGGTCACACAGACAGTGGTGTATTCAGTAACATAGCTGATAGAACATGTACTGACATGGTAGGTGACACAGACAGTGGTGTATTTAGTAACAGAGCTGATAGTGCATGCACTGACATGGTAGGTGACACAGACAATGGTGTATTCAGTAACAGAGATGAGAGTGCATGCACTGACATGGTAAGTGACACAGACCGTGGTGTATTCAGCAACAGAGCTGAGAGTGCATGCATTGAAATGGTACGTGACACAGACAGTAGTGTATTCAGTAACGGAGCTGAGAGTGCATGCACTGACATGGTAAGTTACACAGACAGTAGTGTATCAGTAACAGAGCTGAGAGTGCATGCACTGACATGGTAGGTGACACAGACAGTGGTGTATTCAGCAACAGAGCTGAGAGGGCATGTACTGACATGGTAAGTGACACAGACAATGGTGTATTCAGTAACAGAGCTGAGAGTGCATGCACTGACATGGTAGGTGACACAGACAGTGGTGTATTCAGTAACAGAGCTGAGTGCATGCACTGACATGGTAGGTGACACAGACAGTGGTGTATTCAGTAACATAGCTGATAGAACATGTACTGACATGGTAGGTGACACAGACAGTGGTGTATTTAGTAACAGAGCTGATAGTGCATGCACTGACATGGTAGGTGACACAGACAATGGTGTATTCAGTAACAGAGATGAGAGTGCATGCACTGACATGGTAAGTGACACAGACCGTGGTGTATTCAGCAACAGAGCTGAGAGTGCATGCATTGAAATGGTACGTGACACAGACAGTAGTGTATTCAGTAACGGAGCTGAGAGTGCATGCACTGACATGGTAAGTTACACAGACAGTAGTGTGTCAGTAACAGAGCTGAGAGTGCATGCACTGACATGGTAGGTGACACAGACAGTGGTGTATTCAGCAACAGAGCTGACAGGGCATATACTGACATGGTAAGTGACACAGACAATGGTGTATTCAGTAACAGAGCTGAGAGTGCATGCACTGACATGGTAGGTGACACAGACAGTGGTGTATTCAGTAACAGAGCTGAGAGTGCATGCATTGAAATGGTAGGTGACACAGACAGTAGTGGATTCAGCAACAGAGCTGAGAGTGCATGCACTGACATGGTAGGTGACACAGACAGTGGTGTATTCAGTAACATAGCTGAGAGGGCATGCACTGACATGGTAGGTGACACAGACAGTGGTGTATTCAGTAACAGAGCTGAGAGTGCATGCACTGACATGGTAGGTGACACAGACAGTGGTGTATTCAGTAACAGAGCAGAGAGTGCATGCACTGACATGGTAGGTGACACAGACAGTGGTGTATTCAGTAACAGAGCTGAGAGTGCATGCACTGACATGGTAGGTGACACAGACAGTGGTGTATTCAGTAACAGAGCTGAGAGTGCATGCACTGACATGGTAGGTGACACAGACAGTGGTGTATTCAGTAACAGAGCTGAGAGTGCATGCACTGACATGGTAAGTGACACAGACAGTGGTGTATTCAGTAACAGAGCTGAGAGTGCATGCACTGACATGGTAGGTGACACAGACAGTGGTGTATTCAGTAACAGAGCTGAGAGTGCATGCACTGACATGGTAGGTGACACAGACAGTGGTGTATTCAGTAACAGAGCTGAGAGGGCATGTACTGACATGGAAGGTGACACAGACAGTTGTGTATTCAGTAACAGAGCTGAGAGGGCATGTACTGACATGGTAGGTGACACAGACAGTAGTGTGTCAGTAACAGAGCTGAGAGTGCATGCATTGACGTGGAAGGTGACACAGATAATAGTGTATTCAGTAACAGAGCTGAGAGTGCATGCACTGACATGGTAGGTGACACAGACATTGATGCATTCAGTAACAGAGCTGAGAGTGCATGCACTGACATGGTAGGTGACACAGACAGTGGTGTATTCAGTAACAGAGCTGAGAGTGCATGCACTGACATGGTAGGTGACACAGACAGTGGTGTATTCAGTAACAGAGCTGAGAGTGCATGCACTGACATGGTAGGTGACACAGAGAGTGGTGCATTGAGTAACAGAGCTGAGAGTGCATGCACTGACATGGTAGGTGACACAGACAGTGGTGCATTGAGTAACAGAGCTGAGAGTGCATGCACTGACATGGTAGGTGACACAGACAGTGGTGTATTCAGTAACAGAGCTGAGACTGCATGTACTGACATGGTAGGTGACACAGACAGTGGTGTATTCAGTAACAGAGCTGAGAGTGCATGCACTGACATGGTAGGTGACACAGACAGTGGTGTATTCAGTAACAGAGCTGAGAGTGCATGCACTGACATGGTAGGTGACACAGACCGTGGTGTATTCAGTAACAGAGCTGAGAGTGCATGCACTGACATGGTAGGTGACACAGACAGTGGTGTATTCAGTAACAGAGTTGAGAGGGCATGCATTGACATGGTATGTGACACAGACAGTGGTGTATTCAGTAACAGAGCTGAGAGTGCATGCATTGACATGACAGGTGACGCAGACCGTGGTGTATTCAATAACAGAGGTGAAAGTGCATGCATTGACATGACCGTTGACACAGACAGTGGTGCATTCAGTAACAGAGCTGAGAGTGCATGCATTGACATGGTAGGTGACACAGACAGTGGTCTATTCAGTAACAGAGCTGAGAGTGCATGGATTGACATTGTAGGTGACACAGACAGTGGTGTATTCAGTAACGGAGTTGAGAGTGCATGCATTGACATGGTATGTGACACAGACAGTGATGTATTCAGTAACAGAGTTGAGAGTGCATGCATTGACATGGTAGGTGACACAGACAGTGGTGTATTCAGTAACAGAGTTGAGAGTGCATGCATTGACATGGTAGGTCACACAGACAGTGGTGTATTCAATAACAGAGCTGAGAGTGCATGCATTGACATGACAGGTGACACAGACAGTGGTGTATCCAGTAACACTGTTGTTACCTGTAGTGTAATAAGGACACAATATTGGTACCTGTTGTGTGATGAGGATACAGGTCCCCGTTAATTTGGCAGCTCGGGACTTGAAACGTTTCTCCAGGTACTACAACAGAAGCGGGGTGTTTACACACTCTGAATAATGAACAGAAAAATAACGACTCACGAACTACAAGAAAGTATTTAATGTCTGCTGACGTCAGGGCATTCGCAAGAGAGCAAGTGTAAAACAGGGTATGGTGCATTAAATCATTGATAGCAACTCAAACAGCTAGCTTGTTTTATTGCCCGCCACAACATGTTGATGTGCATACAAAACAGCCATTTGTGCCTACTGTAGTCCGGGAGAGGTTCTAATATCCAAACTTGTTTGGCAGAATACACAATTATAGACTCTTGTAGAGGTCGATATCAGGCCAATAAAAACCGATATCGACCTCTACAAGAGTCTATAATTGTTTTATTATATAATGAAAAAGAAACGGGTTTTAACATAAACTTTTAATGCACACACTGTGCCATCTATCCGAGTGATCTGACTGGCTGAAAAGCGGGGGAAGCCCCTTCGTACGGGATTCCTTGTCTATTTTTAGTAACCCAAGTCAGTATCGTAATTTATCAGAAAACTCAAGTCAATATCGTGTTTTGTAGTCAATCATGTGACGGTATTTTGACCAATCGTGGTACAGGAAAAATACTACCTATATAATAATACATGATTACATCTTGATTGTGGGACAAATACGGTCAAATGGGTTCCGCTGAAACCTGGGCGGCTCCACAACACCACACCACGACAACACGGACTCCCTACAATAACTGACAACAGAATCGATTCAAGTCTGCTACGGCAATTAATAGAGAATCCGGTATGTTACCAGTCAGGGAAGATCCGGGTTAAAACTGATCTTCAGCAACCCAGGCTTGTCCCAACATGCGACTAACGGGATCGGGGGTTCAGGTTCATTGACTTCGTTGACACATGTCATCGCATCCCAGTTGTGTAGATCGATGCTCATGCTGTTAATCACTGGATTGTCTGGTCATGACTATTTACAGACCGCCGCCTGGAATATTACTGAGAGCAACGTTAAACGCCAAACAAACAAACTTACCGTCCAAGCAAGGTCAACACCTACCATCTGACAGCTAGGTCAACATCTACCATCTGACAGCAAGGTCAACATCTACCATCTGACAGCAAGGTCAACATCTACCATCTGACAGCAAGATCAACATCTACCATCTGACAGCAAGGTCAACATCTACCATATGACAGCAAGATCAACATCTACCATCTCACAGCAAGGTCAACATCTACCATCTGACAGCAAGATCAACATCTACCATCTGACAGCAAGGTCAACATCTACCATCTGACAGCAAGGTCAACATCTACCATCTGACAGCAAGGTCAACATCTACCATCTGACAGCAAGGTCAACATCTACCATCTCACAGCTAGGTCAACATCTACTATCTGACAGCAAGATCAACATCTACCATCTGACAGCAAGATCAACATCTACCATCTCACAGCAAGGTCAACATCTACCATCTGACAGCAAGGTCAACATCTACCATCTCACAGCAAGGTCAACATCTACCATCTGACAACAAGGTCAACATCTACCATCTGGCAGCAAGGTCAACATCTACCATCTCAGAACAGGGGGTCATGTGAAGAGTGTGGCTCTGAACACTCATCACAGGCGGCTAAGGTTGGGATAAGCGTCAACATCCATGTTGGATGTGCGCCTGTGTACACATGTACACCATGTTGCAGGCGAATTTGAGATTCAGAAAACCGACGTAGCCTTGAATGGTAGGTCAGGCCTACCATTAATCACCATGACGTGTACAGGCGGGGGATTGTCATGGTGTGAAATGGATTACCGCAGTACAGGGCACTGATATATATAAGTCCAAAAAAACCCAACTGTATGTCTCTATTTGTCGGTAGTATGTTTGCATGGCGGTCTGCAGCTCGTTGTACAGTATTCTCAGTTGTCAATCATTCTATCAGTAGGACACCAGCCTGTATCCACTGCGCACCTCAGAATGAATTTCAACTGCACGTTGATGTACGAGGCAACACAGGGATGTGAATACAGGAAAGGCCATGGTCGTGACTCTTTCAACTCGTCTAACAGACGTCTAAACTTTAGAACGCACAGCGGTGTCTGACTATAACTCTGTTGTTTGAAATTTCCAGGAGGACTGCAGTGTTAACTACAGACAGTTTGTTAACCTACCATCAGAGCTGAGGCTCCTTTGAAATAAAGCATCTTAGACTGAGATCTGTGGGGAAAACAGTGACGTCACAATTAGTGGCGCGCTGCAACAAACGTAACTACGAGTACTTTACCTCAAATGAGCTTGTATACTTCAGTGGATAGAGAAGGGGAACGTACAGCACTGTAGACACAACAATGGCTCCAATTAAACCGAACGTGTACAGGTAGTACTGCGTCCCTTCTCGGTACATCTCGGCTGGAGTTCCCAGAATCAAGATGGCGGACATGAAGGACACTAGGATGGAAATGGCGACAGGTACAGTCTTCATATCTCTCCCTCCCATCAGAAACTCCCCCGTCGTTTTCTGTCTGTTCCCCCAACATGCATAGAACACCCCGATCCCCGCCGACACCAGCAGCATCAGTGCGAACACTACATAGTCTACGACTCCAAACACTCTCTCTTCATCAACCATCTTGCCAGTCTGTGATATCGGGCTGTGACAATGGCAGGTCTATCTCTTTGATACTGTTTGACCAGTATTAGCTCCGCCTGTCACCAACAGCCTGATGTCTCAAGGTGACACCCACTGTAGGTGACGTAGCTAGTGACTGTGTATATTTAGTCAGGAGGGATCGCTGTATGAAACACAACATCTCATATTCCAAGATAATGATTAACGTTATACAGGGCGACCGAGATAGATTTCACGGTGACGTACTTGTGTCTGCCTTCATATTGGCGTATTTGTGTATGAGTCAGCTTGACGTACTTGTGTGTACTTGTGTCTGCCCTGACGTTGACGTACTTGTGTCTGCCCTGACGTTGACGTACTTGTGTCTGCCCTGACGTTGACGTACTTGTGTCTGTCTTAACGTTAACGTACTTGTGTCTGTCTTTATGTTTACGTATTTGTGTTTGTCTTCATGTCGATGTCCTCACGTTGACGTACTTGTGTCTGCCTTCACGTTGACGTACTTGTATCTGTCCTCACGTTGACGTACTTGTGTCTGCCTTCACGTTGACGTACTTGTATCTGTCCTAACGTTGACGTACTTGTGTCTGCCTTCACGTTGACGTACTTGTATCTGTCCTCACGTTGACGTACTTGTATCTGCCTTCACGTTGACGTACTTGTATCTGTCCTAACGTTGACGTACTTGTATCTGTCCTCACGTTGACGTACTTGCATCTGTCCTAACGTTGACGTACTTGTGTCTGCCTTCACGTTGACGTACTTGTATCTGTCCTAACGTTGACGTACTTGTATCTGTCCTCACGTTGACGTACTTGTATCTGTCCTCACGTTGACGTACTTGTATCTGTCCTCACGTTGACGTACTTGTGTCTGCCTTCACGTTGACGTACTTGTATCTGTCCTAACGTTGACGTACTTGTATCTGTCCTCACGTTGACGTACTAGAGTCTGCCCTGCATGTCGGCATGATGTGGGGAGAAGGCCCCGAGTGATGTTTGTCTTATTGTTTTGCTGACGTGATGCACATAGAAGCACAACTTGGCGGGATTTGAATACACTACTGCTGTACTGGTGTGCCCAAAGCGGCGCCACACTGCTCCAGGCCTGACAGCTGGAGAACAAATACCCAGTCACCTTCACTAAGAACGGGGAGTATGCTAATATACGTGTTTCAAATTCAGTTCACATAATTCGGGAGGCGTCAAATCGTGTGAGAGGCCACACGCTGACAACATGCTGGTGCCATGTCTCACCTGTGACAAGTGTCCATGTCAGTAACTCTACCCTTACAACATGTTTGTGACGTGTCTCACCTGTGACAAGTGTCCTTGTCAGTAGCTCCCTTACAACATGCTTGTGACGTGTCTCACCTGTGACAAGTATCTATGTCAGTAGCTCCCTGACAGCATGCATGTGACGTGTCTCACCTGTGACAAGTATCTATGTCAGTAGCTCCCCGACAGCATGCTTGTGACGTGTCTCACCTGTGACAAGTTTATATGTCAGTAGCTCCTTGACAGCATGCTTGTGACGTGTCTCACCTGTGACAAGTATCTATGTCAATAGCTCCCTGACAGCATGCTTGTGACGTGTCTCACCTGTGTCAAGTATCTATGTCAGTAGCTTCCTGACAACATGCTTGTGACGTGTCTCACCTGTGACAAGTATCTATGTCAGTAGCTCCCTGACAGCATGCTTGTGACGTGTCTCACCTGTGACAAGTATCTATGTCAGTAGCTCCCTGACAGCATGCTTGTGACGTGTCTCACCTGTGACAAGTATCTATATCATTAGCTCCCTTACAACATGCTTGTGACGTGTCTCACCTGTGACAAGTATCTATGTCAGTAGCTCCCTGACAGCATACTTGTGACGTGTCTCACCTGTGACAAGTATCTATGTCAGTAACTCCCTTACAACATGCTTGTGACGTGTCTCACCTGTGACAAGTATCTATGTCAGTAGCTCCCTGACAGCATGCTTGTGACGTGTCTCACCTGTGACAAGTATCTATGTCAGTAGCTCCCTGACAACATGCTTGTGACGTGTCTCACCTGTGACAAGTATCTATGTCAGTAGCTCCCCGACAGCATGCTTGTGACGTGTCTCACCTGTGACAAGTTTATATGTCAGTAGCTCCCTGACATCATGCTTGTGACGTGTCTCACCTGTGACAAGTATCTATGTCAATAGCTCCCTGACAGCATGCTTGTGACGTGTCTCACCTGTGTCAAGTATCTATGTCAGTAGCTCCCTGACAACATGCTTGTGACGTGTCTCACCTGTGACAAGTATCTATGTCAGTAGCTCCCTGACAGCATGCTTGTGACGTGTCTCACCTGTGACAAAGTATCTATGTCAGTAGCTCCTGACAGCATGCTTGTGACGTGTCTCACCTGTGACAATTATCTATATCATTGGCTCCTTACAACATGCTTGTGACGTGTCTCACCTGTGACAAGTATCTATGTCAGTAGCTCCCTGACAGCATACTTGTGACGTGTCTCACCTGTGACAAGTATCTATGTCAGTAGTTCCCTGACAACATGCTTGTGACGTGTCTCACCTGTGACAAGTATCTATGTCAGTTACTCCCTTACAACATGCTTGTGACGTATCTCACCTGTGACAAGTATCTATGTCAGTAGCTCCCTGACAGCATGCTTGTGACGTGTCTCACCTGTGACAAGTATCTATGTCAGTAGCTCCCTTACAACATGCTTGTGACGTGTCTCACCTGTCACAAGTATCTATGTCAGTAGCTCCCTGACAGCATGTTTGTGACGTGTCTCACCTGTGACAAGTATCTATGTCAGTAACTCCTTTACAACATGTTTGTGACGTGTCTCACCTGTGACAAAGTATCTATGTCAGTAGGCTCCTTCTGACAACATGCTTGTGACATGTCTCACCTGTGACAAGTATCTATGTCAGTAACTCCCTGACAGCACGCTGGTGACGTGTCTCACCTGTGACAAGTATCTATGTCAGTAACTCCCTTACAACATGCTTGTGACGTGTCTCACCTGTGACAAGTATCTATGTCAGTAGCTCCTTTACAACATGCTTGTGACGTGTCTCACCTGTGACAAGTATCTATGTCAGTAACTCCCTGACAGCACGCTGGTGACGTGTATCACCTGTGACAAGTATCTATGTCAGTAACTCCCTTACAACATGCTTGTGACGTGTCTCACCTGTGACAAGTATCTATGTCAGTAGCTCCTGACAGCATACTTGTGACGTGTCTCACCTGTGACAAGTATCTATGTCAGTAACTCCTTACAACATGCTTGACGTGTCTCACCTGTGACAAGTATCTATGTCAGTAGCTCCCTGACAGCATGCTTGTGACGTGTCTCACCTGTGACAAGTATCTATGTCAGTAGCTCCCTGACAACATGCTTGTGACGTGTCTCACCTGTGACAAGTATCTATGTCAGTAGCTCCCCGACAGCATGCTTGTGACGTGTCTCACCTGTGACAAGTTTATATGTCAGTAACTCCCTGACATCATGCTTGTGACGTGTCTCACCTGTGACAAGTATCTATGTCAGTAGCTCCCTGACAACATGCTTGTGACGTGTCTCACCTGTGACAAGTATCTATGTCAGTAGCTCCCTGACAGCATGCTTGTGACGTGTCTCACCTGTGACAAGTATCTATGTCAGTAGCTCCTGACAGCATGCTTGTGACGTGTGTCACCTGTGACAAGTTTATATGTCGGTAGCTCCCTGACAACGTAATGCTTGTGACGTGTCTCACCTGTGACAAGTATCTATGTCAGTAGCTCCCTGACAGCATGCTTGTGACGTGTCTCACCTGTGACAAGTATCTATGTCAGTCGCTCCCTGACAGCATGCTTGTGACGTGTCTCACCTGTGACAAGTATCTATGTCAGTAGCTCCCTGACAGCATGCTTGTGACGTGTCTCACCTGTGACAAGTATCTATGTCAGTAGCTCCCTGACAGCATGCTTGTGACGTGTCTCACCTGTGACAAGTATCTATGTCAGTAACTCCCTTACAACATGCTTGTGACGTGTCTCACCTGTGAGAAGTGTGCATGTCAGTAGCTCCCTCTGACAATATCCTTGTGTCGTGTCTCACCTGTGACAAGTGTGCATGTCAGTAGCACCCCCTGACTACATGCAGGTGACATGTCTCACCTGTGACAAGTATCTATGTCAGTAGCTCCCTGACAGCATGCTTGTGACGTGTCTCACCTGTGACAAGTATCTATGCCAGTAACTCTCTCACAACATGCTTGTGACGTGTCTCACCTGTGACAAGTATCTATGTCAGTAGCTCCCTGACAGCATGCTTGTGACGTGTCTCACCTGTGACAAGTATCTATGTCAGTAACTCCCTTACAACATGCTGGTGACGTGTCTCACCTGTGACAAGTATCTATGTCAGTAGCTCCCTTACAACATGCTTGTGACATGTCTCACCTGTGACAAGTATCTATGTCAGTAACTCCCCTGACAGCACGCTGGTGACGTGTATCACCTGTGACAAGTATCTATGTCAGTAACTCCTTACAACATGCGTGACGTGTCTCACCTGTGACAAGTATCTATGTCAGTAGCTCCTTACAACATGCTTGTGACATGTCTCACCTGTGACAAGTATCTATGTCAGTAACTCCCTGACAGCACGCTGGTGACGTGTATCACCTGTGACAAGTATCTATGTCAGTAACTCCTTACAACATGCTTGTGACGTGTCTCACCTGTGACAAGTATCTATGTCAGTAGCTCCTTTACAACATGCTTGTGACGTGTCTCACCTGTGACAAGTATCTATGTCAGTAACTCCTGACAGCACGCTGGTGACGTGTATCACCTGTGACAAGTATCTATGTCAGTAACTCCCTTACAACATGCTTGTGACGTGTCTCACCTGTGACAAGTATCTATGTCAGTAGCTCCCTGACAGCATGCTTGTGACGTGTCTCACCTGTGACAAGTATCTATGTCAGTAACTCCCTTACAACATGCTGGTGACGTGTCTCACCTGTGACAAAGTATCTATGTCAGTAGCTCCCTGACAACATGCTTGTGACGTGTCTCACCTGTGACAAGTATCTATGTCAGTAACTCCCTGACAACATGCTTGTGACGTGTCTCACCTGTGACAAGTATCTATGTCAGTAGCTCCCCGA